GTTAAGGTAGAATCTATGTTGCACAACATTATTATCTGGTCGCGGATAATCCGCAAAACGTGGACGAACTAAACTGGAAATATAAACGAACTATGAACATTGATGGGTAAATAGACTCATCCTGTCTGTTACCTTCGGTTTAAAAAAACTTAATTGATGAATAATATTTCATTCTTTTCGTTATTAGAAATTTAATTAATGTAATTACAATATTATGGTACATAAATTTCAAATTACAACTACAATTAAAACTATTACAAATCAACATTAGATCATTGCTAGCTAATAAAAACACTTTCGCCGTTAAAATTAGAATGGAAGGCCACGATATAGTTTTAGTTTCTGCAACTTAGTTAACAAATTCAGACTACGTATGGTTTTCTGGATATGTTATAATAAGAGATGACCGTGGTGATAGATTGGTGGAAAATTAGTTTCACCCTTTTAGATATAAACAAGACCTGGACTTCATCCAAATAGCAGCCGTTCACTAATTGTAATCGTTAATGCCCGTGGTGCACCTGCGGTTGCTCTTTCACTAATTACTCCGGGGACTCATTTATGATTGCCCTGAATCAGATCGGTCTATGCTTCTTAAACAACTGCGCGCACATGCTGATCAGAAAACCGACCAGAGGCCGTCACTGCCCGATATGACCCTTTCATCAGGATATATTACGCCAACATGTTGGCTCTGACCGCTATGCAATTTTCACAACCCTTTTCTCGCGCCAGGGATTCATAATATGATAGATGACACCGAACGCTTGATTTTTAAAATGCGGGGTGCATACTCAAGGGGCTGTTGAAAATCTGATGGAGTAAATCAAACCATCAACATTAATAGACATCCTATGAAAGAGGGCTGAAACCTCAATCCCACGTTTAAAAATATCGGTGGGATAACGAATAAAGATATTGAGATGTGGAACAGGGCGCTTTTAGGGAATACTAATCCGACCGAAAAACGATATAACGCTATTCAGAGAGCGGCGGCAAAGTGCTGGAAATTGCTTAATGTTTGGAATAGTACTACTCACAGAAGTTTTAGGTAGCTATCCGGATTTCGAATATTATTTAATACTCATCATATAATTATAATGAGAAGAATGATACTTGCACATCTGCCATTATGCCTTAATGATTTTGCTTGGGTTAAGGGACATAGCGACAATCGGTTTAATATAAAAATCGATGATCCGGCAAATGGAGCGCAGTGTATCGGAGAGGAAGTATCAAGATACACTTTGATTTAATCGCTCACGTGAAACAAAGGTCAAAAACCGTTGGCGACGGGTGGTTTTACGCAGAAGTACTGCCGGGTACTATTGTAAGGATGGCGTGCAAAAGTGACATTCCTGTATAATGAATTAATTTTTTTAATTAAAAAAACTTCCGATTGGCGAGGCGGATGCCGAAATGATAAATCAAAGGAAAAAAGCTAGAAAAATACTAGAATTTTTGTTTATAGAAAGAATACTTGAATTATTTAAATTTTAGTTATATTCTTTCAATTAATTAATCTTTATGTAAGGTATTGGTTGGGATAAAAAAGCCCAGTGTACGAGCGGGACCCAACTTCCCATCTCAACCTACATTTTGAATTTTTTTCCTTTTTGCCATTTTTCAAATGTCGTGCAATCAGGATTCGATTCTCGGCGGCAAATGAAATGGCCACGGAGAGCTTTAGTGAAGATATACTTCATTTTACTTATTAAATCCATTAGATTTCGCGGTCCAATTGGCTTCTTGGAATTCTTGGAATAGCTTCTTTCAATTAATTAATCTTTATTGTTTTTATTTTTTTTATTTCAACCAATACCTTACATAAAGATTATACAATTGAAAGAAAGTATTTGACCAACCGAAGGTCGTGGGTTCAGGTTAGTCAGTTACAGATTAGTCTGAGTTGATTAGTCACTGGTAAATGCCCAGTGGTGATTTATATGGTGGATTTTGAACGCGACAGTTGCAGGTTCTAAAAATGGAGACGAGTGGGCATACCTTTGTTAGATTGTTATGAAGTAGAGGGGTAGTAGCTTCAGGCTTCGGCTTAGATAACTCCTTTGTGGATTTTAAACAGTTAAGTTGCAGGTGCCCGAAACTGTTAAGGCGTTGACACGGCGCTCATTACTGTAAGATAAAGGGAACCTGTGAAGGTGAAACCCGACATAATTATAAACGGGCTTTTTTTTTAACCCTGAGACCCCGAGGGTATATATGACCTCTGATGTTGCGAACCCTCGCTATAAAATTGTTTTGAAATGAGAAGACCTCCATTACTTTTTTATGACCCTAATGACAGATTTGGAAGAAAAGCAAATCCTGACGACTGATCGATTTCGGAATATCTGCCTTTCCGCTCTCGATGTACACGCGTATACATCTACAATGATATGCCGGTTCCTGCCTATTAGCAATGGAAAAAGGTACCTTTGAAATAATCAATTTATTCTCTTACGTTATAGATATATCACAATGCCACATATTAAAGTTATCAATACAAATAAACATACATTCATAAATAAACACAATAAACAAACATAAATAAAACGAAAGAAATGATTTATGTCAGGGTAGAAAACAATTTTTCGAAGGTCTAAAAACAACTTATTTGGATTAGAATGTGCCATTCTTGCAAACTGATTTGCTTTTCCAGTATTTTTATTTTATTGTTGACATGTAAGAAAAATTAAAACCATCGCAAAAAATGCCCCCTAAACAGTCATATTCTGCACTGTAATGCATAAGAAATATTGTTATTTATTGTTTTCTTGTAATGATATTTAGTGAAATGTGTTTACATACTTTATAACCTTCTAAAAGTGACGATTCTGCAATAACGTTGACTTGACTAGATATATGTAATTAATTTCTACGTGGACTGTCGGTTTTGTTTGGGTTTGAATAAACATATTAGGCTGTTCCAACTGAGTTTTACGAATTTTTATTATTTTATTATATGTGCATTTCAGGCTCATTTATACCTCCTTTTCAGTACATTACTTTTAAAATTTCTTTGAAGAATAAGGAACCAGAAACAAAGTTCTGAGGTCATAAATGGATAGGTTTAGGCTGTGTTTGACCAATTAATTTCATAATAAAGTAATATGTGGAATGTTATATGGGCAAAATGAATTTAGTGTTTATATTCCTCGTAATTCGGGCTAATAATGCTGTGAAAGTTTCCCAAGCCGGGAACATCCAATGATATTACAAGTTTTAATAAAAATGTATTCGTTTTTATAAATACTTTTCTACCTTGCTTCCAAATAGTGTTTACAACTTTGTATATAAAACAATTTGGTCGTTATCGATCATTTTGGTCCGCTAACTTCGTTGGTTAACGGGCAGTCCAAACCATCGAGCCTAACAGGCCAAATGATTGGTAACAACCAAACTACAGGTTCATCATTCCGAATAACACGTGGAGAAAGCGCTCAACCACAAACCACCCCTAACCATCTCCCTCTCACTCACTCACTCTCTCTCTCTCTCTCTCTCTCTCTCTCTCTCTCTCTCTCTCTCTCTCTCTCTCTCTCTCTNTTTGCTTGATTTTCACTCTATAATAAAAGATAATGTATCTCTCTCTCTCTCTCTCTCTCTCTCTCTCTCTCTCTCTCTCTCTCTCTCTCTCTCTCTCTCTCTCTCTTTCCTGCCTTTTTCCATTTAAAAATTTGAAATAATTATTATTTTATTTATCATTAGAATGCAAATTATAAGAAAATTATAATATTTCAATACTTGTTGACTGTTTTTTAATTTAATAAAATAACATACCGCTGACCTTGTTAAACGACAGAATTGGCAATACCCGAAGAAATGTTTTGAGTAATGAAAAATATAAGTAGCCGTACAGTTACGATGAATCGTTACAATGCCTGTCAAAATCGTCAAATAGATAACAGGTTGTATAAATAAATGATTACTGGGAAGGCTCCTATATAGATGTGTTGTCATTCGAAAATTCGATTTTGTTTTTATATCAAACGTACGCATTTAACGATTTTCATAAAACACTTATTTTTATAAAGTTTACAACTGAGGTGTATCGACCCACGAACTTCTTTCCCACTCAAAATATGATGTGGAAATACGTACTTTGAATTTGAATCCTCGGCTGCTGAGATTCGAACCGGGGATTTCCAGGGATAACATTTGACCATTGAACATAATTCAAAATTCCTATTTTTATTTACTCTTAGCTTTACTATCTACTATCTGTTTACATCTTCATATAGGTGGTTTTTAAGAGGTGAAAAGAATAAATAGAAATTGTAAATAGACATAAGTATCTAGGAATTGTCTTCACTCCCCGTCTTTCCTTTATCTTACAGAAGAATAGCCACAGCAAAATTGGGTTTAAATGGAGTTTGATCAAATAAAGATAACCCCTTTAATGTCACAATTCAAGACCCCGCGGTCTTGGGATCAATTCCACAAAACCTTTTTGGTTAAGTTAATATGGTTTCTTAATATCCAACCAAAGGCCAGAGTTTTGCCACTATGGTAGTTTTTGCTTTTTTGTTTAAGTTGCAACAAATCCAGTAGACAGCCAAGCCGTTGTTTAAAAAAATTGAATCGCATTTCATCAAATTTGAATTCATTTATTAAAAAATATTCGAGTTGATGTTATAATTATTAATTAGTAGTATTTATGGTTACAATTGCAGTTGGCTGATTTGAAAATTTTTATGTTTTTAGTATCAGAAAATTTATGTGTATCTCGAGAGTACGAGCATCCACCGATTACAACGTATTTGTATTTCATAAACGTTCATTATTTCAATTATCAACATATTAAATATTGCCAAATACCAACATATTCAACTTGATTTTCAAACATTTCAAAGAATTGATCGTTTTCAGCATATCTTTGTACTTTTCAACGTATATATGGTAGGAAGTAAAATGATAGTGAGATGATAGATGAATTCCATCGATTGTTGACTCAATAAACATTATCAACAAAATAAATCCTTTTATTTTTTAATGTTTAGTTACAGAATTGCGGATATGCCCGTGAGCTGACCCATCAAAGCAGGCGTAGAACGGAGACATGTCGTGGAATCAAAAGGTAGAAAAAGATGCTGAAAAATCCAAACAAAGCATCAAACTCACTGGATTCACCAGGTTCACCGACTCGAACGACAATGGTCATGTCAACCTCGGTTTCATCCCAGATAACAGTGAGTAAAAATACAAAACCCGTTTTCGGCTTGTTAAATCGACTGAAACACAAGAATGGGGAAAATCAAGCAAATGCCCACCTTCTCTTTTCTCCTTTCCTTATTCTTTTGTTCATTAGGTTTGGAGACGTAGATTTACTATAAACGTAGACTGAAATAAAACTAATCTGTTTCTTAAAAACTGTAACAGTAACTAACCATGCCTGGCATACCGAGCATGAACCTGAGTATCAGAAAATGTAGGAAAAGGTACAAAAAATCCATTGGACTTATATAATATGGTTGAAACGTCGCGAATAAATTTTTCACGTTTGTTGCTGTTGTCATTATTTTTCTTTTTATAGATGAAAAATTTCTTTTTGGTAGGTCTTTTTTTCAGAAGTTTTATAAAAATGAAAATCATGATATTGTGACGTTTGGGCGATCCTGTGCTATTTTCAATACATATAATTTATTTCTTCAACAGTTTTAATTTATATTATTCTTTTTAAATATTAAATATTTTTATAACTACTACTACTATAAGTCTTTATTGTTTAATATATATACAAAGTTTACCGATCGGCAGTATATATTACAGAGCAAGAAAGACGTTCCTCATGGTTTAAAACCAGTTTAGGGAGTCTAGCACATAAACTTATATAACTAAAGTCTCTCTTCTTAGTATTTACAAGTAATTATAATTAGTATTTACAAATGTAATACATACTTTCTTTGAAAATTTTAGTAAGTAATAATAGAACATAATTATATAATAATAGCTGAAACATGATTGCAAATATATACATCTCTTATTTATGATTACCTATAATGCACATAACTCAATAATAAAATAAACTAAAGTAAATGGAAATAATAAAAATAAATAATAATGAAGTACATTATCTACCACAAGAGATAATAGCAAAAAACAAAACAAATAATAAGTGTTTAAGATATAATATTCAGGTCGAAGATGAGCTTTTCACCTATTCAGGGGAATCCGACAAAAGAAGCCGCCTCCACCCTCACCAGGAGCCTCTGATTCTGGCCCTAAGAGAATAAAAGCCTCTTTGCAGAAATTTACCAACACAGTCCAATCCTTGCCATTAATATATTCTAGCAGAATCTCACTAGACAGAGTTTCCTACCAAAATAGTGTTTCCTGACAGCGGTCAGTGCAGGGCAAGTTGTCAAGAAATGGAACAAATCCTCCCGCTCTGTACCACTACAAAGTTCACAGTTAATATCCTGCTACTTGAAGTGTTTGTACTTTAAGTTAACAGATCCCCCCGACACTTAATTATCCCCCGCATGCTATCTAAGGGTAGCGACAGATCCATTAGATAATTTGGGGATTTGAAAAGAAGCTTTCTGTGAAGTGGGAAACTGCCTGATTTGGCCAAATCTGTGTAATATTGTCTCTTTATATTGTCACAAATGCACCTTCTAACTCGTCTCAAACCATCCCTCCACAGTTCAACTCTGTCGATATTGTTCCGGTCTAAGGACAAGTCCAAATTAAATTGCATGATATGCCTTTTTATTTCCTTAAACCAATACATTTCTTTATCTACAATCTGCTTGGCTAGGATCTCCGGGAGTCTATTATCTGGTAGGGATAAAATTCTTATTATGTAGTCGAAGTGAATTTTCACAGTGTAGAGAAAAATTGGCAGGAGACCCGTCTCAGCATAGAGGAAGGCTGCGGGGGCGTACTGAGGCAGCCTGAACAGCCTCCTGATGAAGAACCGTAGAAACCCCTCTACCTGTCCAAACATCTCTCCTCCCCAAACCTGAGCGCCGTAGCATAAAATAGACGTTAAATATTTTTAGCTTAGTCGGGTACGCAATATCGCCGTTGACTATAAGAGGTCTCCAGATAGAATTTTGTCCCATCTTGCTCTATCCACCGCATCCGTAACATGTTTGTTCATTGACAGTGCATGAACATTGACTGTTGCAAAGACCTGATCGTTCCCTGTAAAGAGGCAGGGTGTGAGGCGAGTAAAACTATGTCATCTGCATAAGCTAATAACTTGATTCTGCCACTACCCTCCACACACCACCATCTAAGCATGCCTCCAAATAATATATAATAAAAAAAGTGTTGGGCTGAGCAAACAGCCCTACCTCACTCCCATTTCGGTATAAAATTTTCGAGAGATCCCATCCACACACCACACATTGGCAGATGTATTGCATAACAAATTTTTAATTGACTTTATTAATTTAGAAGTAAGACCAAGATCGTATAATTTACAGATAAGAGAATGTCGGTCAACACTGTCGAATGCCGACGTGAAATCGACAAAAAATGCGAATACTTTTTGCCTCTTTATTCGAAGCTTCAATTTCACTAAATTCACTAGATTACAAAAATTGTCCACGGCTGAGTAGTTTTGACGGAACCCAGCTTGCGATTCTGTAATTATGTTGTCATTATTTATCCATTCATTAATCCTGTTTAAAAGCAAACCCGAATACAGTTTACCAACTGTGTTAATGAAAGAGATCCCTCTGTAGTTTTATAGTAGTTAAATATTTTTATAATTTCATAATACAAAAAAAAATTAAATAAAAATTATTTCAACAAAATGTTTTAAAAAAACCAGTTGGATTATCAACATGGCTGCCTGTATCCTTATATGTTTTATTCACTTGAGTGATTTCCAGGTATATTTGTCGATAGTCTGAGTTTGATATCTCCCCAGACACTGCCCAATTCACTATCCGGTTTGTAATACAGCGGGTAGTGAGATTAATATCATTAACTTCTTGTCTTTTGTTGATACAAATGTCGGTTTGGAGCCTTTATTAATAATACTAACATTGTTAGATAATTTATAAAAGCTTCTCATGTTTTTTGTTGGTGTTTGTGCTGTTCTAAACCTCATTGTACGAGTTAGCATTAGCTCCAATGATTAGCTCGTGGAGGCCCCGATGAGTCATAAGGCTTGTAGGTCGAGGCTATCATGATGTCTGTCGTGACTCCTTCCTTCATGTAGTTTACTCTAATTACTATTTGGTCCCTGGAACAGAGCTCGCAAGTGATTATACATTAAGTTCATTTTTAATTGAAATGCATGTTCTTACGTTTTGTTGCGTGTGGTCATACATGATTTTTCTTCCCATATCTCCCAGCCTAGCTACTTTCCCTTTTACAAGGCAGGGTTACAGGAATAAGGGCTACTTTGATGTTGTTCTCCTGGCCACACGACAAAGCGTAAGTGTGGAGCTTTACTGTGCTGGAGGTTTGCTTGAAGCACCCTCAGCAACAGTCTTTACTGTTTTTTTGATTACCCGTAGGGTTATTATTGCAAAGCCAAGTTAAATTTTAATGTGTGGTATTTAATGATCCTTAATTACTGATTATTTGGAGATAGTGAGATGCGGAGTCGGGTGCACTCACAACCCGACACACAGCAAGACATATCTACACAGAAAACAAACTTTGAGCCCAGAAGATGATCTCAATAAAGATCGAAACGTTGGCACGACAAAGAAAATGTTTTTCTAAACATACGACACACCAGACCTCATCTCACGATCTGTAAATAATCATAAAGTTTTAAGTAGGCTTTTCTTAGAGCGAGCCAGAGAAAGGTTGCATCATGTATATTTTCTACCAGTTGTGAACCTTTGCTGTCTACTCTCTGGCTGACGACTCTCCATTATTAATACTTGGGTTTTGGGATTTCATCAGCACGAGAATGGTGGTAGTGTCCGTAGTGCCCAGAGGCCAGAAATGAAGATAAGACTTTTACCCTTTCCTGATTCTTTTCAGGATTGGCGCCTGTTTTGTTTGTCTCTTCTTCTGAGCCCTTGATATTTTCTTGGGTTTGAGGTGTAGTTTTTCAATCTTCTCCGCCCCCTCCATTTGAGTGGTTTCGCTTTCTGGTTGGTTTTTTCATGAAGACTCCCCACTTCTGCAGAAAGTGACGCGAGGAAATTGTCCTTTAATTCTTGCTTTATAGGAGTTGAGGAGGGTTCGTAGCACTCTTTAATTTCTGTAGTTTTTTTTTTTTTGCAGGTTCCTCCGGTGTTTTATTTTTTTCTCTTGGTTCATCCATATGACTCCCACGAGTACGAGGGATCTAAAGTTCCGCATCGGAGAAGCCTCCTGTGTAAGGTTGATTACTCAATGGGGGTCACCTGGTACCATTGAGGTTCCGTTATTGGAACCCTATACCATCCATCCATCGTCACGGGTCGCATATCTTCGATTCCCTCCTTCCCACAATTCTTACTTACAAAAAATGGTTTCGAAATGGGCCTGGCAATTCAAATAGACGTTTTAATCCATCTTCTTTAACGATATTTCCATCCGTAAAGCTGACTGGGTACGCTACTTTGGTTTCCCCCTAACCTCATTGCTAACCTGGACCCAAACCACGTGTTTAAAACAAGACACAAAGACGGATTACTTTACCAACGTACAATAAGAAAAGTGAATTCACTACTACGAAAATCCAATCAACAGTCTAAACGAACGTATGACATAGAATTGCGGCCTTGTGGAGAATTGTAAAACCTTCCAACATCCAATGTATTCAATCCAAAGTCCTCGTATGGATAAAAAATGTATTTTTTATGTTTTAAATATACTCCCCACAATGATCTTCTGCTCTCTGATCTACAATAAATAACTCTCTTTTCGTACCAATTTATTGCATTGTTACTTCTAATTCCGGTAGAATGATAGATTTTTTTTTCAAATATGTACCAGGACAAAAATTAAAGCACGTGGCGACAATAATGAACCTTAAGACGTTTCTTCTAGCAAATTTCAGGGGTCGTCTGAGACGTTTGAAACATACAAATTAGTAATTATCGATCCGTATCTAAACGTTAACTGTACTGTAATCAGTCTCTAATTAGAACAACACCAATTTGTACTATTAGCAGACATTTAACATTATGATTAATAATGTCACGAAACGGAGGCTCGTTCCCATGTCTGTTGTTTTCTTCCACGATTAACCCATTGACGGCGCAATTCGTATTGGGATTTGGGACTT